ACTGCCCAGCTGGGGGCTGGGTCATGTGCCCCCCGAGCTGGTTACAATACAGGCCCCATGACAGCAACCCAGTCCTGCACGGCTCGCCAGGCCCATGCCAACCCCGCCCTGAGGAAGCCAGAGGTGGTGGCTGCGCTAGGCTGGGGTGGCAGAAGCAGGTGCCCCCTCACCTTGTAGGGCATGGACTCGAAGAAGATGGAGGTGGCTGAGATCTTCTTCTTCTCGGTCATGAAGCCATGGGTCAGGTGCCCCCCGTCAGGCAGGTCCAGGCCCATGATCCTGCCGTGGGGCTCCACCAGTGCCGTGTATACCGCAAAGTTAGCTGGGGACCCTGCAGTAAGAGCAGTGTGAGCAAATCAGGCATGGATCCTGCTGCACTGCAGAGGGGTGAGGCCTGGGCTAAGCCCTGGGCAGGGGGTTGAAATGACTTTATGTTTTAAACACCCCCTAGGCTGGGCACTCCCCTTCCCCAGCTGCCTCTGGCTTGGGGAAAGCTGGCAGGGCAGGGTTACAAAAGCCAGGGGTCCCCAGGCATTGGCAGGATTGCTCTCTCCCCACTGCCAGCACGCAAGGAGCTGGGGTATTACCTGAGTAGGGCTGGACATTGACACCCCACTTCTGGGGGTCCAGGTTGTAGGCCTCCAGTGCCCTCTTCTGACACAGCCTCTCCAGCTCGTCCACGCACTCCGTGCCGCCATAGTACCTGCCACGCGGAGGAGAGGGCAGGAGCTCTACAGGGGATCCACAGGGCCAGCTGCTCTGCCTTGCACCAAGGGCAGGGCCTGGCCCACCATGGGCTCTGAAGGGAAGGGGCTTGGGCAAGCGGCTGAGCAGGGATCATGCCCTGAAGAAGCATGAGCCAAAAGGCGCCCCCACACACGCCCCACTCCATACCTCTGCCCTGGGTACCCCTCCGAGTACTTGTTGTTCAGACAGGAGCCCAGGGCCTCCAGCACAGCCCGGCTGGCAAAGTTCTCGGAGGCGATCAGCTCCAAGCCCAGCCTCTGCCGCTGCTTCTCCTTCTTGATGATGTTGAATACCTTGGAGAGAGATGAGGGGGAGCTTCTGGGCAGGGGATTGGGTGCCCAGAGGCAAGACGTACCCTCCCAGAGGAGAAGAGTGATGGGGAACAGACACAAAGAGGTCACAGCTAGGAGAGGAGAGGCAGGGCCTCTTTCTGCCAGGGCTCTGAGCTTGAGATGTGGACAACACTCTGCGTAGGGTTATGAGGATGAACCAGAGGGGCTCAGAGCAGTGCCCCTACAGAGCTGCTTTCCTGCCATGTGGCATGTGCAGTCTGCATGGGGGGAGTGGGGAGGTGGGGATGGGTCCAGCTATTTCTTTCTTTCTTTCTTTTTTTTTTTTACAGGTGGGGTGGGGTCCTTTGGGCAGCTCAAGGATGCGTGAGCTTGCAGGTGCTGGCTGGAAACAAGAACCCAAAGAGCTAATGAGTCTCTATCACTCGTGTCTGTGGATCTCCTCCTGGTTTGATCCATGTAATAGCCAAGGGCTGGATGCCAGGCACATGGGCTTGCTTCAATAGTAACATGAGGCTGGAAAGGGTCTGCCGGACCACCGAGACCTAGGAGAGGGACAAGTAGGGCAATGCCTCCCATAGGAAAGGACCACCTCTGGGTGTCATGGAGCAAGGCACAGCATGGACTCAGCTAGAGGCTACCACATGGGGACCGCAAGTTGAGCAGGCTCACAGCAGCCCCGAGGCAGGCATGGGGAAAGCCACCAGCTCCCATCCTCCTCCACCCCTTCCAGCAAGTGACAGATGAAGCAGCAACAACCTGAAAGGGAGAAGCAGGGGGGAACCTGCAGCTCCCAGACGGCCCAACGCCCTGCCCTGAGTCACACTGTCCTGAAAGCTGATGATCCCACAGTTGAACGGGTCCCTGTGCTGGCCAGATGAATGAAGCAGATGATGACCCAGAGTCAAAGCATGCCACCCCTTCCCTGCCCCGCGGACGCCAGCCTGCTCACCTCGGGGTCATTGGTATCGAGCGGTTCCAGGACCATCTTGTTATGCGACTGCCAGATTTCAGCACTCGGGAGCTCACCGTTGAGGTTGGTTGGGGTAGCCATGGCCAGGTCCCCTCTGGCATCAATGCAGTCTGAAATGAGGAGGGTGGGAGAGTTTATAGAACACAAGCGCCCGCCGGGAAGACGCGTCTCTCTGCCACCTCCTCCTGGAAGCATCTTTGGATTGATTGTCCCCCGGCCTGCAATCACTGTATAGCGGGGAGTAAATTTAGTAGGAGTTAGAGTGAAAAATCCCAGTAAATGTAAGAAGATGGGATGGGACCTGCCCTCTGCTAGCATGTTTTTGTGGTGCAGCTCAGAGTGCCTCGCTCTTCACCAAAAGGGTGACGGTTTGAGCCTGCCCGGGGCTGTTGGCTGTAGGAAGGAAAGACTTTCTTTCCCATAGCACTTTTCTTGGCAAGGTTTTTTGTATCTTGGTGATTTAGTTGCGCTAACACAAATGGTCGTGGAATCCCCATCACTGGAAGTTTTCACATGCAGGTTAAACAAAGCCTAAGTCTGGGCTGGTTTGGACAGGGATGGTCCTGCTTTGAGCAGGGGCTTGGGCTAAATGACCTCCCAAGGACCCTGCCAGCCTGATTTTTCCATGATGCTGTGCTCTGAATTCAAATCAATAGAAATAACTGACTGCAATGGGTTTGGGCTCAGTGTGATGGTGAAAACACCAAGCTTCAGCCACCTTTAGAAAGACATACAGGTCCTACACCTGCCGCTGTCCCTGTAGTGATTAGCAGTCAAGCTTTCTCATTTGTGTTACTTCTCTCTGATGTTGCTGCATGGAAAACCCACCCAACCGACGGGGAAAAGAGCAAAGCTGTCTTTATCCACACTTTGCCTGTGGAGAAAGGCAACAGACTGAAAAAAAGGTTTTTTCCCTCATCTCGTAGAAATGCTAGGAGTTGGTACATTCCCTTTCAGACACAAGTGTGATTTTCAAATGGAGGCAATATTCGAAGGGACAGCCACCGCTTCGGATCCACCAGACAGCTCTTGTCATTCAGAGGGGTGTTAAATGCAACAGACTCCCACTGAACATCTCCTTGCACACAACTCTCAACCCACTGTGGCCCGTAGGATTTCCTGAATCGGAAGGACACAGCTCCGAGAGCACGCGGCTTGTGGGATCAGGCCTGGAGCACATGTGTAACCATATGTTGGATCCGTGCCCATCTGCATGTATTCAGCCTGAATAACAACCCAGCCCAATCAACGGCATCCCGACTGAAGTCCACCAGCGTGACCCCTGCGGAGATCAGGCATGGACGGCACAAGTTATCTTACTCACGAGGGGACAGAACAGCCTCTATCTCCCTTAAAGACAAAAAGGCCTTTCAAAGATTAACTCCCCAAGGCCAGCACCCCTGCGCGCTGCTAGTTAGGCAATCGCTGTGTTTGCGTGGGTCAAATAGCTAAAGTCCATTTGGAGGCCGTCTGTCCGACCCACAGTTCATCCTGCTCCGGCGAGGGGCAGCTGGCTGGACCAGCTCCCCCCATCCCCCTTAGCCTGCTTGTGTCGCTGCAAATGCTGAGTGTCAGAAAAGGGGAGCTGCCCCAAGAAAGGGGTTAGGGATGTTGTGGGTGTGGGGAAAGCAGAGCCTGACCCTTGGGATAGGAGCGGACTCGATCCATGCAGGCAGGTAGTCCTTCTCCTACCACGTCAGATGAACCACCATCCTCATCCTCACCTCTACCATGGCCCTCCTCACTGGTAACTCTGCTTTACAGTGGGGAAAGAAGGTCTGTTCTTGGTACTTTGTTCATGGGGAAAGGAGACAAGGAGCTACATTCTGCAAACTGCCAAAAGTCCCAACTGGCCAGGACCAGGATTGAATCTCCCGGCTCCCAGGCCATCAGCCCATCCGTTTACTCGGAGCAGGGTCAGGAATAAGAGAGGCTCCCTTGTGCAAGGAGCCGGTCACAGAATCAGAGAGACGCCGGGCTGGAAGGGACCACCAGAGTCGCCGAGTCCAAGCCCCTGCTCAAGGCAGGATCATCCCTGTCCCTGGTTCCCTCAGATCCTGCCTCCAGGCTCTGGCAGTAGCTCATGCCTAAGCGTTGGGGAGCAGCGCCCTGTAACCCCCCCTCCCCAGGCTGCTCATCTGAGATCCGTGTCCTACACTTTGGCCTGGGGCCTGGCTGCCAATGCCATGATCAGAGCCCGCCGAGGCAAAGAGACGACCAGTTTCTTGTCTCCAGGGAGTCTCTCGAAAAAGGAAGGAGATGGTTCTCGATGACAGCGGAAACCGGACACGGCTTCCTCTCCCCGCCAGAACCCAGCTGCGGGGGTGAGGGGCACGGATGCGGAGCTGGGCCTGTGACATCTCCATCCTTGGCGGGTCTCAAGGGCGGATGGCACAGGTGCTGGGCTGGGATGCTTCAGCCGGGTGTGATCCTGCCTGGAGCCAGGGGGTTGGGCTAGGCTAGATGTCTGTCCCTGTGAGCTCCCTTCCAGCCTGGCTTGCCTATGATCCGAGGAGCAGAGCCCAGCCAGAGGACCGCAGGGATGGCTGCGGGCCCGAGCAGCGATCTCCAGTCCCCCTCGGGGCAGACCTGCACCCCGCTAGACCCGGCGGCCCAAGGGTGCCGGGCGATCGCCCCGCACTTACCCCGCTCCGACGCCCGCAGTCGCTCGCCCGCCCGCGGCTCCCGCGCTAGGATGGAACGTTCAGACTCTCCCACTTCCTCCCCCAGCCAATCCGCTCCCGGGCGGGCAGAGTTCGGCCGCGCCCCTGCCCGCCCGAGCCAATCACAGCCGGGGGAGTGTCCCCGGTTGGAGTCCATCCCGCCACGGGCAGCACGTGGGTGATGGCGGGGTTTCCTGTGACCTTGGCCCGGCAGAGGGGAGCGCATCCTCCAGCCGCTAGCCCCCGCTGCCGGGCCGTTGCTCCCCCAGGGGCTGCTGCTCGCAGCACCAGGGGATCCACTGGATCCTTCAGCAGCAGGCAGACCCGGGAAGTGCCCCCAGCCAGGCAGCCGCCGCCTGGGCAGAGATGGAGCCCAGCTGGAGTGACCTCTCCGGGGCACCAAGGCCTGGGCAGCGTCTGTGGAGACACCAGCATCCCCCCCCCCCCGCCCGGCTGGGGCGGGGGGGGGGGGGGAACGCCCCAGCCAGGGTGCCGCTAGGTTAGGAACCAGCTTGGCTGCAGGAGCAAAGGATCATCCATTTGTCTGTCTGTCAGGGCTCCTAGGCTAGGGTTAAAGAGCCCAGTCTACCTTAGAGTACAGTGCACCTCCCTTTCACCACCGTCTGGGGCATTTCCACTGCCGGGGGTAAGACAAGGACCCCCTCTAAGGCGCTCTTCTACCTGAAGCTGTTGGCACCCTAGTGGTTGCTAAGTTATTTAACCACCCCCCAGCACTCAGCATTAACAGGTAGTATTGTCTACTGTATTATGGTCAACCTGATGTCTTAATTCATTAATTAATCACCCCCATTAGAGCCCTGCCTGGTCTCTGTGGCTTTAGTCCCCATTCCTGTGGCTGGTGGCATCTACCTGGCGGAGGAGAGACTGGGACTAGAGTCTCCCATATCCAAAAGGTGAAACCAGGAGGAAGATAACTGTTCAGCAAGGATTAAAGAATCAGGAGGCGAGAAAAAACCATCCGTGATACAGGGGGACAGAAGGGGGATGGCTCAACACTATGGGGAGACCATAAGCACATTTCAACTTCACTGAAAATAGTGTCGCTGTAACATGTGTCTGCTGTTCCAGACTCACTGATGGGCTGGTGATTGAGAGCCAGTGTGGAAGAAAGCACCGAAGGGGGCACATTACACCTACCCCAAACAGGCATTTTCCCCTTATTGATGCAGGTTGGCAACATGGCCTGAGATCTCATGGTGGCCAGAGGAGATGCTACAAGGACACATGGAAGGATTGCCCCAAGAAAATGGATGCCAACGTCAAGAGCTGGGAGGAGCTGGCTGCTGACGGACTCCAATGGCCCTGCAGCCTCAACTAGGCAGCAGTCCATCTCGAGGTAAAGTGTCTTGCCCTTGAAGCAGAGGAGAGAGCGGAGGAAGGAAAAGGAGAAAATCCCAGCCTGCCGCCTGCTCTCCCCTGTGGAAAGACCTGCCACTTCTGCAGACGGGTCTATGGCTCAAGGATTGGACTTTTAAGTCACCTCAAGACCCATCAATGAGCCGGGGTAGAGATCATCCTCGAATGGAGGGTGTGCTGCCACTGCTGACACATTGGCCATTCTTTGACTTGTCAGTCCATTAAATGCTTCCCTGGCACTGCAGCTTCTCTCTCTCCTCTCCAGACACTATGAGCTGATAGGGCTTACAGTTATGAAGTTTCCTAATATTTAGTTGCATCTTCTTTTTCTTAATGTAACACCACTTTTCCCAGTACAGTTATATCTCTTTGTATTGCTCTAAATATTGCTAACTCCCCTTCTTAAGGCTACATCCTCCACTCCTAATTTCTCTTCCAATGACTACTAAGTTTAAAGATAATTTGACGTAAGAACAGCAGGATTTGGCCCCTTCTCCCCAAATCATACTGATGTAAATGAGAATATGCAAGGATGGAGATCCATAGCTCCTATAGATGCTGTGAAGATGCCAGGTGCTTCCCATTGATTTCCATGGGAACAGGGTTGAAACCAAAATCTTGGAAACTTTCAAACATTTCTCACATGTTTAAGAATTAAAATCAGTGCTTCCAGCTGAGCCCATACATGTTAGCAGGGTCAGGACATGGGTGAGGCCTGATCTGTTCCCATTCATCTCAAGAGGACATCAGCTCTGAGGCCTAGTGATGAAAATAGTATCACTGTAACATGTGGCTGCTGTTCCAGACTCACTGATGGGCTGGCGACTGAGTGCCAGTATGGAAGAAAGCACCAAAGTGATCCACTCTCGTGTGTGAGAAGCCCTTGAGAAAGCATTTCTCAGGCCAGGATTCTTCTCCATCCTCTCACCTGTGTACCACTGCCCTTCTCATCCCTATGTCCGAATGGGTTTGTGTCACTTAACACTTCCCGTGGTGTTATACCTTTGAGATGACTTTCACCCCACAGCCAAAATGACTGCCTTGGTATTTATTGTACACTAAGGGTCTGCCTATGCTCAAGTTGATTGAACTGAGTTAGCTTCAGTTATAATAGCAGTGTGAAGACAAGGTAACTTTGATTTTACTTCAGACTAGCAGCCTGGTATTGAATTCAAGCTCTCAACCCAGGTAAAACCCCAGTTAATGTGTCTTTATGGCTCTTTTAAGTTGCATTAGCTAACTCAATTTAGCCAACATGAGTTAAGAACACAGTGCAGATGAACAGCGATGCCAAAGAGTTAAATTCCACATAATACAAATTGAGGAACAACACCGTGGAATAAATGATCCTGTTAAATTCCCCATGAGCTCAGACCATGGAAAGACAATACAACCTACCGTGAATCACTTGCAGAGATGCTCATTGTCTCGAACACTTCCAGACAATAAGAGGAGGTTCCACCACTTCCAGTGCCCAGAAGCAGAGAAACAAGAAATACAAAGCTGTGGTGAGTACCTCTCGTTTGATCTCAGTGTTAGAAATCCAGGCTAGGAGGTGGTGAGAAAAGCAGGAGATTGGGAGGATTTAAGAGACGGATATGTGGGTAAGGTGTTGGCCATGCTCTGTTATAGTGTGTTATCCTTCAAAATGAAAGACATATCTTAAAAGGCAAATTTCTGAAGCAGGTAGTGGGGTCTTTGAGCACCAGACTCCAGTGCCTTTAGTTGCACTGAATAGCCACAATGGGGCTTCTCGAATTGAGAGGTCAGGGCAGGGGGATATTTTCCAGTTAGCCCATATCTGATGTGTTTGATGGGTAGTACCTTGATGGATCCCAAGCGTTCTGTTTATAGCAGGGGAATTCCAAGTTGCCCCAACAGTGGCTACACTTCGGTTTCTGTGTGTTATGTATAGAGCTGGACAAAGTCAGGTACCAATTCCATGACTTGCTTACAGCCAGATTCAATCCTGAAATATTCCCACACAGCTCCTCTCTGCTCTCAATGGCACTGACTCAAGGGGATCTTGGCTAAATTCCTTGTACTCTCTGTGCCTCACTTTCCACAGTGGTAAGGGCAATCTAATCATAGTTGGCTACCTTGACAAAGTCTTTTTGAGATCCTGATGTGGCAGCTACCGCAGATTAAATTAATAGCAGGAATATGCACGTATAATTTCAGGAGCCCAGATCGTGAATGGTGATGGAGAACATCTCCTCCCCCTCACCCATCTCTGTCATCTCCACCGCTCGGTATGAGAACGCCTCTGAACACAAAGATTACTATTCCAGCCTTCAAAAGAGCATGCATATCCTGTCCATGGTGGTCTACAGCATTGCGTGTCTGCTGGGGGTGACAGGAAATGGCCTCGTCATCTGGATCGCCGGCTTCCGGATGAAGAAGACAGTGAATGCCGTGTGGTTTCTGAACCTGGCTGTGGCCGATTTCATCTTCACTTTTTTCCTGCCCTTCAGCATTGTCTACACTGCTCTGGGCTTCCACTGGCCCTTTGGAAAGCTCCTGTGCAAATTAAACAGCACCATTGCCTTCCTCAACATGTTTGCTAGCGTCTTCCTTCTCACAGTCATCAGCATGGATCGGTGCGTTTCACTTGTCTTCCCTGTGTGGTCTCACAACTACAGGACACCCAAATTGGCTTCCAACATTGCCCTGGTGACATGGGTCCTTGCCCTCATCATGAGCTCTCCGTATCTTGTTTTTCGAGACACAGCTATTCATTCCAAGAACATCACCAGCTGCTACAATAACTTTGCCCTGTCTGATGATTATAACTCGGAGGCAGCACAGAGGCTGTGGAGAATGAGGCACGAAGCGATGATTGTAACCAGATTCCTGTGTGGGTTCCTCATCCCCTTCATGGTGATCCTCATCTGCTACACCATCTTTGCTATCAGGTTGAAAAGGAGACGTTTAGTGAGGTCCACAAAGCCTATCCGGATCATCATTGCCGTCACTGTGTCTTTCTTCCTTTGCTATTTCCCATACCATGTCTTCTCCATGATGGAAATGTCCAAACACTCTTCCAGTCATGAGCTGAAGATGGCCCTCTACATCGGGTTCCCCCTGGCCTCCAGCCTTGCCTTCTTCAACAGCTGCATCAATCCAATCCTGTATGTCTTTATGGGGCAGGATTTCAGGGAGACATTTCAACAGTCCATCCTCTCTGCCTTTGAGGGGGCCTTCAGTGAGGACTCTGTCCTGGCCAGCCTGGCTAGCAAAAGAAAATCCAGGTCTGCTTCAGAGGCAGAGATCCCAGGGGTTTAGTTAGTAGCTCCTATAGCAAGTCACAAGGGGCCCAGTTCTGTCTGCTGTTACACAACAACAGTTGCTACTGCTTTCCATCAGTGCTAAGCTTGTGGACCTGAAGACAGAAATGAGCTGTGAGTTGTTAAGGGGTGTGATTCAGCTTTTGAGATGTGTGCAGAATCTAGCGTGTCTTCACATACCAGGGATGTAAAACAGCCGGATGGGGGTGGCACAGGGCTGTCAAAGTACCTACTTTCACATGCTGCCCTTTGCATGCTATCAGCTTGGGTTTTTTTCACTTTTCCCTTTGTCAGTCCTCTTGTTGTGCCAGTCACCCTCTGTCACCGGAACCGTTCCTGTTTCACATCCCCTCTGAGGAGCAGATGAGTGCAAGTTACTCTGTTTTGGCCTCTCTGCTCACTGTTCAACTGGAAACCCTAGCACCGAAGGTGGCTCAGAGTCAGCCATGCCCGCTTCTACCTGAAGATGAATCACGTCTTTTTTTACGGCCTTGCCCTGCCACAGTTTTCTCTTTGGAAAATCCAATATTCATTTAGCAAAATATTTAAAAGATAGAGAGGCCATTTCAGAGTTTCCTTTGCTAGTACTGAGATCTGAACAATTCAGTGCTGCCATCCTGTGCAAGCTTTCAGCACGTGAGCAGCTGACCCAATAACCTTAAGATTTGTATATAGGCAACCCACGCTTAGCGCTCTTAAGTGGTTCCTGAAAAGCTGAGCGTTAAGTGAAAATAGCATTAAGTGAAACCAAAAGTTTTTGATGAGCCGAGATGGCGACAGCAAGCATTTTTGATGA